CATATTTATCATCATTCATATGTGCGTTTTTATTTACCACTCAACCAATTGTAACACAATGTAAATCGTTTCAGTATGAATTGACCTTTTCATGCTGCTAACAATATAATCTTCAATTGCTATGTGTTTTTAATACCCACAGGATAACTATTACAACTTTTTCTAAAATTCTTATGGTTTTTTACTCTAATAATGTGAATCCTTTTGTTTTTTCATTGTCAAATTAATTGTTAATATATACTATTTTTTATTCTTAATATAAAAGCTAATTTGAGGGTTGAGTTTAGCTGTAAATATAAAACTTCAATTTATTTTGTTTTTCAAATTTATATCTGTTTTTCTAATATATTCTTATTGATTATAAGGATTCCAACCAAGGAGTAGCTCAAATGTAGATGATTTGAAATGATAGCATTTGTTACAATCAATCAACTTGACTATTTTTTTTAATTTTTTAAAATTAATTATCTAACTTATATATTAACTTATATATTAAGAATTTGAGGCAGTGTATATATATTGCTTTTTAAACTATCCTCTGGTCCATTTTTCAATAATATTTTCAATAATTGTTTGTGCCCTGTGCAAAAACAAAATAAATCGTAATTATATATCCATTGATGATTTCAATAAAGGTCATATGCTGCATCATTGGACATTTCAAGAATTGTTTAGTTCCATGATGGCGATTCTCATAGAAGCTTTCTTGAAGGTCACTTTTTAGTACATATGGTACCACTCTTTTCTTATATAGGAGGAATTATTTGAAATAATTTATAAATAGGTTTTTAAGTGTGTTTTATAAAATACAAGATAAGTATATGAAGAGAGTCATGTTTTGCTTAGTAAAACTGTTAATAAGCACTCAAAATAAGTAGAAGCAAACAAGCCTTCGCATACTAAGAACACGTTAAATTAATAAAATTTTCCACATTTTTTGCCTATTAGAAAAAGATATTGAAAAAAAGGTATATTATACATTTTCTCTCAAATTTTTTTAAATTATATTCAATGGGGTAAAACTGAAAAAAAAAGTTAATAATTACCTAATAAGTGACTTATATTTATGAATAAATTTTTTTGCTAGGAATAACTTATATATAGTAACAGAGTGGTAATTATTAATCTAATATGCTTTACCAAAATTAAAAAAATCTTAAAATATAATGACAGGAAAATATTTGTTGAATTTTAAAAAGACAAATAGGTTATGCTGATTATTTTTGTAATAACTTTGACTACACTTATAATAGTTTTTACCATTCAAAATATGTTAAAATCATTTATTTGTCATTTTAAAATTTAACATGTAAGTGATTTTTTCTTCCCTCTAATCTTTGGATAAGAACAGAATTTTGAAAAACTAAACTGGGAATAGTAACTAAAAATCATTGAATATAAAGTAAAAAGTTAGACATTAAATTAGGTCTATTTGTGGAAAAAATTTTAATTTCTCACTTATTAAAAAGGAAAAAAATGCTTTTCTTAATTAATGTCTGTGAAGTAATTATTTGTTTTCATTCATAATTTAGTGGGTGACCTTTTTCAAACATTGCCAAAACTCCAACCGAAACAATGGTTTTATTCAAACATTACTAGAATTGAACTCCTAATTAAATGAATGTTGGGAGGTGGAATTGTTTTGTCTCATTGTATTTTCTTCCCTCTAATCTTTGGATAAGAACAGAATTTTGAAAAACTAAACTGGGAATAGTAACTAAAAATCATTGAATATAAAGTAAAAAGTTAGACATTAAATTAGGTCTATTTGTGGAAAAAACTTTAATTTCTCACTTATTAAAAAGGAAAAAAATGCTTTTCTTAATTAATGTCTGTGAAGTAATTATTTGTTTTCATTCATAATTTAGTGGGTGACCTTTTCCAAACATTGCCAAAACTCCAACCGAAACAATGGTTTTATTCAAACATTACTAGAATTGAACTCCTAATTAAATGAATGTTGGGAGGTGGAATTGTTTTGTCTCATTGTATTTTCTTTCAAAACGTACAATCATGCGATAGCGTAGTAGATGGTCTTCGCAACCAAGTTGTTTCAGTTCTTTCAAGTTTTAATGACATCATAGAATCCAAATTTCACAAATCATATTAAGAACAATTAATGTTTTAATTTAATTTCCGAGAGTGTTGCATATATTGAAGTCATGCAAACGTATGTGAGGGGTAACAACTAATGTTAGAATGCTCTGAGGTGAGACAAAAAATTTTCTTATAAGGATTGGCTTGTATCAGGAATCACGTTTGAGCCCTTGTTTATTTAACCCTAATCCTAGATATTCTACCTAAGCTTATAAAAAAAAAAATCTTTAAATGCATACTGTTTGCTGATGATATAGTTTTTTTTATTTTTGGCCCAAGTCAAAAGATGAGATTTGCTCTAAACTTAATTTATGGAGGACCCTGGGGCCAAAGGGTTTTCAGCTGAGTAAAAACAAGATAGAATATATGTGTTGATGAGAGACAGGTGAAAAATGATAGGAAAGTTAAATTGGGAGATCAAACCATCCTGCAAGTGACAAAGTTTAGATATTTGGGATTAATTACAAAAAAAATGGCTTAATTGATGGAGATGTTAATCATATATATAATACAAGTTGGTGGTTTAAATGGTGAAAAGCTACTGAAGTTATTTGTAATAGGAAAGCATCTAATAAGGTGAAAAAGGAAGTTTTATTGTATTGTTACAAATCCCAGATTAGAAATATTATATGGTAGTAAATGCTGAGCGTTTTTAGAGGAACAATATTGGAATAAAGTGGGATAGCTGAGATGAGAATATTTGAGATGAGTACGTGATCATATAAGAAAAGATAACATTTATAACGAGAGAAGAGAAAAGATAAAAAAAATTGTTTGAGATAATCTGGATATATTTAAATAAGGCCATTAAATGGACGGACGAGGAAGATTGATTAAACAATATGGAATCTTTTAAAAAGATAAAGGACTGCGACAATCAGTGAAGTTATTGATTAGATCTTCCTATTAACTATTTATTTAAAGATTTAATGATTAACAGTGGTAAATAATAAAACAAGAAAATAATAATAAAGGTGGAAGACGCGCAATCGGTTCAGAATTAAAAGCATAGAAAAATGATTCACAACATTTCTGGAACTAAATAAACGTGAAAAGAAAATGACAGATTTTTTCAGATAGGGACACATCGCTGAGCATGGAAAGTTTTGACACAAAAAAAAAAAAAAATCTCATCACTATCTTTGTAGACGAAATAGACAAAGAAATAGGCCAAGTTTCCTACACATTACTGTCACGTTTGGCAAACTCATGTACGATACTCACCATAAGCAATCAATTTGGAACAATAATAATAATAATAATAATAACTTAATTGGTTTGAAAACTTCACAGAGTAATGTCCTTTTCGAAGGCTCTGAATCTGATTTTCAACGGTGAAGGGGAAGGGCACTAAGCACAACGCGGCGTGCCGGCACCCTTGAAACTTGAAATACGGACGCAGCCTTGTTCCAAAGTTTATTGTTCCATTCAAACCAAAGTTTTGGAAAATCCAAAACCCAGCTACTATTGCTATTTAAATGAGATTGTGGGAAAAAAAGAGAGAGAGAGAGAAATACATTGCAATTATTTCACTACTCTTATTTATAAGTTATTTTCAATATGTTTTATATAAATAAAAAAATTTTAAATTTTATTACCTCTCATTTAAAATTCCATGACTTTCTAATTTTATCCCTATTTAATATACATTATATTTTATGTAAACAAATTTAACACAATAATAAATAAATGATAAAATTGTACATTCATATAGAGAATTTCTTTCACTTTTCTATAGATAGGACCAAAAGTGTTTTTTCTCTTTGCTCTATAAATATGATCAAAGGAGTATATTTAAGTATTCATTGCAGGAAAAAAATTGACAAATAAGAATTATTTTTTAAGTGACTTATATTTTGGACTAAATTATTCTTTTAGAAATGACTTATTTCTCTAGTCATATTTATAAGTCACTTCCAATATGTTTTACACAAACTAAGAAAAACCTTAACTTTTATTAATTTTCATTTAAAATTCAACAAGTTTTTAATTTTATTCCTATTTAATATATATTATACTTCATATAAACAAAGTCAATACAATAATAAATGAAGGCTAAAATTATACATTTATACAAAAAAGTTTCTCTCAATATCTTATAAATAGGACCAAAAAATGTCTTCTTTCTCTGTCTTATAAATAGGACCAGAAAAATATCTTGTGGACGGATGGAGTACTTTTCCTATCGCTATTTACTCATTATCATAAGAAAGTCATGGCCGGGAAACAAAAAAAATATATCATGAGAAAAACCACACATATTAAGGAGAAAACAGAATCTAAGATCTGTATAATTCTTTTCCCCCAGTTTTACTCTATTCAATGCCCCACAATTTCAAACACTTCAAGCCACCTCTCGAATCTAACCATCAAACCGCATGAAAGATAACATCCTCCTTCTACTCATTCTAAAACACTTCAAACCACCTCTCGAATCTAACCGTCAACCATCTCACCAGAAACAAGGAAGGGTAGTTAAGTTAGTAGCTTCGTATGAAAATATAGAATAACAATTTTTTTAATTTTTTGGTTTGTATTACATTCTCTGCGTTATTAATGACTTTAAATAGAGGTAATATTAGAAAAGTAAAATGAAATTAAAAGATTTAATAAATTGAGGGGGGAAAAAAACAAAATAAGTACCGATTTACAAATTGAAGAAAAGTATAGGCACCTGTAAATTAATTTTCCCTATCTATCCAATAATATCCCTTGTTAACTAACTATAATCCAATCTTACGCATGTCTTTCAATCCCTTTCGCCACCATAAATAAGTAACAAGGGTGTTATTGGAAAAAAAAAATTTCATTGTTTCATGGATCTTGTGAAGTGACTTAAAAATAAAACCATGAAATGCTTCTAAAGGATGGCCTATAAATAGGACTGAAGAGTAATTCAAATATAGGAGAATTTCATGAAGATAATCATGTCTGTTACTAGTAACAACAAAATTGTCTACTATATTTCCTTTCAGTCACAAAGGGTAGTAAGTTAAACATATCTAGCAAATACAAGTGATCTCTGGTTGCTAGAACAACACAGAAACATGGGTTAGACAGATATAATCAAGCTAACTACTGGAAAGCAGGCAAATCATGAATCGGGATTTTCTGTCGTGCTGATGGACAACAGCCACAGCAGATCCAGCCATTCCTTCACATATATGATATATGAAAATCTGTTTATATATGAAGAAAGAATAAATAAATGGCCAAATCTGTCATGCTGCCTGCACACAGTGAACGTTCCCAGTCCCAGTATCATAAATACATCGCCGGGGAGCCTGGCATTCTATACAAAAAAAAGACCTAACGGATTATAAGAAGTACTTCATCCGTTCATCTCTCCTCATGGCATTATAGACCGCTTGCACCTGAAAAATGCAGTAACATTACAAATATTCAGGGAAGACTCAATCCACAACACAAGATCTAATCAATGAAATATTTATATATAGAATCTTCAGTGAATTGTAAGAGAAAATATCTATGCACTACTTCCTTTTTCGGGTGAGTAACAAAAGGGTTTTTCCTTCATTAAGAATCGCATATGTACTAAGGTTAAATTACAAAGATTAAAAGACGTAAAAACCTGTTCGCTCGAAACAACTTGGATTGGCCCGATATTTACAGACACATATTTGCCCCTTGATGATACCTTCTGCTTCACCCGTTCCTGAAACAAACGTGTTATGTTTCATGGACATCAGACACCATCTGGGGAAACGAAACCCATCTACTAGGTAAGTGCACGGGTGTGAATTAGCATGGCATACAAAATCATATTCAAGATACGTAAATAATGCAATATCTGACACTCTTCATATAACAAAAATGGTAATAAAAACATGCTGCGGTGCCCATGATACTTCATATGATCATCACTATGTAAGAAACCAGCCATCAGTTTTCCTTTTTGCAATTTCTCAATGCTAGTTCTCAGTTCTCAAAGCACCCTTGTACTTAGCAGCTTAATTCATTGGAAGCATCCTCCTCCCACCTGGCAGAAAATAATTATTCTCCACCTACTAGTGACTGTTTTCTCAGAAGCAGGTAAGAGGCCTCATTGCCTCAGCCAACCTGTCCTAGCCGTCCTGGGTGAATTGAGTGAAATAAAATTAGTGGCTCACCGCCCACCTGAATGTTTGATTACTGACGGAGACCAAGATTAGCATGGAATGTCTTATTGTGCCTCTCATTGAGTTAAACGAGATGCTCCGCGAAATACTTAAGTAGATTGGTTTTTCCATTTTAATAGCTAGTTTTTAGGGGAGGTTTATCCATGTTACTGGGGTAACCATCAATTTTATCAAGGTTGGTTAGTTATCAGCAATTTTTGGGAAGTGCAATCTGGAGAGTTCTGATAAGTGGAGAGTTCACACCATTGAGGAAGCCAAGTGAAGCGTCAAAGCGCAACCATCGAGATGCTTCAAAGAATACCAGTTGATGAAGACTAATTACGGTAAGACAGAATGGTCTATAGGATACTAGTTGAATTGGTGATCCTATCTCAATAGCTAGTTCTTGGGGAGGTTTCTCATTCAACTTGTATACCCCTCTGTTGTCCTATGAAATCAGGTTACCTTCCAAAGCTCAATGAATCAAAAACATTTTCGACCCATTCACAAAACAGCAAGCAATGCTTCTAACCTTTTGCTGACTTGCAGGTAGTTAATAAAGCTGATCAAGGAGGTGCGAGGGTAACCATGTCTTACAATATTGACGTCGATCACATTCAATTTTAGCCCCACAAGGAAAACAGAAAACTCTCAAACAAAGTGTATACTTTTCATTCCCTCGCACCCTTCAGAACAAGGATTTAGGGACCTTAATTAGCAGCACGAGAGCATGCTTAAGGTTCTTTTTGCAGCATGAAGTGTCCTTGATCATCAAATACAAGGTCATGATTAATCACTTTTCCTTGCCAATGCGAGTTAAATATGATATCCATTCACAATTAAATCTCATGCTCCTGCCTCAACTGTGAAGACGTACAAACACAAATTACCACAGTAGCTTCATAAATTTAGTAGTTTAATGAGTTTAAACAGTCAATCACATGCATTCATGTAAACCAGAACTTATGAGTAGCACAGAAGCCAAACTATCAAAAGTTTCACCTGCGTAGAGAAATATATTGGAAATATGGTTAAGGCAAGCCAACCAAACCTAAATAATTAACTAGGTATTCATTTTCTTTCATTTTAGCAATTGGAACCACCATTCAACTTGAAGTGCTATTGCCAAGCTCAGCAAACAATAGTATGTTATCCACAAATGAACATCACATCGAGTTCAAGAGTAGGCGAAGTTATTTGGAAGTCAGATTGAAGCAATAAAGAGACATTCACTTAAACACCATGTCCTCAAAAATTTAAAAACAGGTTGGTAAATGGTCCTTAAACAAATGTTTGAATGACCAAAGCTACCAACATGCTCCAAATTTTTCATAGTTTTCCAACAACTTTTGCGTCAATAAATCCAAAAGTGGAAGATTGTTAAGACACCAACCCATATGGTTTAGCAGAAGTGGTTTTGCCAAAGATGAAAGACACCCTCAAGGAGCGTATTTGTACAAAACCATAGGCAAGTGGCAGTAGAAAGGCGCTCGCTTGAATGAATCAAGGGGCTATAATCATAAAATATGATATATAGGGGAAAAAAATAGATAACTGTAATTTGAAATAAACCTCCACATTAATTATGAAAAATTATGACATAAGAGGAAAGACTAAATAAATGTGGGAGAATTGCTATGAAGTCGAAGTCCCAAGTAAAGAACATAACTGACTAAAAAGTCCCAGTAACAATAGAGCAACTTGCAATAACAAGTTTTAAGATAGTAAATGACAACTGCTCTCTTGTCATCAGGGTTTGAGACCTCATTGTAATTCTCTTAAATGTGAGTTTAGGATAAAATATACTACTCAAGTTCACAAACTTGTTGGAAGGTATTAAAGAACTTTAAAAGCCTATCATAGTAGTTAGCTAAATCAAAAGTGAAGACATAAGAAAGTACAACTTGAAAAATATTTTAAAATTATAACCTGAAAAAGGTATCTGCTACTCAAGTCCCTCTTTGCTTTTTCATCTTTATTTACAAAACTCCAAGAAAGTAATAACTCAAAAATAATTTAAAATTGTAATGTTATCCTAAATATAAAAGGGTTGTGAGGACTTTGTACATGGTATTATATAGTTTTTACGCCAGAGTTTTCAGTCAAACTCCTTCATATAACCAAGGCACCTAAGACACTCATGAGAAACCCTAGAGCTCTTTGGTGCGTCACCTCAGCACATTAGGTGCGAAGCACTCAAGGCTCAACTTTGACAACATTGGTCTCCAGCATAGAGATGCTTTACCAGCTCTTCTAGTAGAAGGCACAGGCGAGTTGAATCCAGAAGTTGGCCAGAGTGGATAGGAGGGAAGTAATGGTCTGCCTATGCAGGGAAACAGAAAGAGAAGAAAGGGAGGGAGAACTAGAGCTGCCAGTAGGTGTTGGAGACCAGCAAAGAAACGTGGATAGACTTTGGAGTTTTTGGAACCCTCAAATTATCAGCACTAGCATTTTTATTGTATCTTCTATTGCTTTCCTACAGTGCTGATATTGCTCTATTTTTCTGCTACTTTCTGCGTGAGTCCTGTGACGGTATTGGCAGTTACCATACTACTATCCCAGCAAAAACCTTGAAAGCAGGTAGTATAAGTTTCCATTACTAGATATGTACTTTTGTTACCCTACCTCAACAAAAAGGAAAAGAAACATCCGTACTTTAGCCTTTGGATGAAAAATTTGTGCATCACAAATTTTCATGTGGCTGGTTGCAAATAAGAGGCTGGCAACAAAGACAATGACAAGCAAATGGGATGGAGGTAATGATCATTGTGCTCGCTGTGACCAAGCTAGAGAGGATTTGCTTCATGCCTTAGGGGACTGCACTAATGCTTCTAGTGTCCGGAGGAAGACTCTGGATGTCTATGAGAGAGTACAATGTTTTGGAGATGACTGGCAAGAAAGGCAGTGACAAGCAAATGGGATAGAGGTAATGACCATTGTGCTTACTGTGACCAAGCAAGAGAGGATTTGCTTCATGCTTTAAGGGACTGTGCTTACGCTACTAGTGTCGGGAGGAAGTTTCTGCCTGTAAATGAGAGAGTAGAATGCTTTAGAGGTGAACGGCAACAAAGTCAGTGACAAGCAAATGGGATGGAGGTAAAGATCGTTATGCTTGCTGTGACCAAGCTAGAGAAGATTTGCTTCATTCTCTAAGGGACTGTGCTTATGCTACTAGTGTCTGGAGGAAGGTTCTGCATGTAAATAAGAGAATAAAATGTTTTGGAGATGACTGGGAGGGGTGGCTAAACAAGAATTTACATAGCAGAAGTAAAATGAACGAGAAGATAACATGGCCAGAGATAATGCTGGTTTCTACGGAGATGGAGTAGTCAATTACATAAGCCAGAATTCAGACAACCATGAAATGCGGAGGTAATAATAAGTCAGTATTTGAATAAATATCATCAAAGATGGGAGGATGAGGGGGAAGGCTGTCAAAGAGTAGAAAGGATTATCTACGTGAAGTGGGAGACTCCCAAGATTCCAAAAATGGGGTGTGTAAACTTAATACGTATGGGCCAAGTTTACAAACTGGAAGAGCTGGCTGTGGAGGGTGCAGCAGAGGGAACTCTGGCAAATGGTTAGCTGGTTATCCACGCAACATTTTTGTCTGTGAGGCAAATACTAAAGCAGGGGGTATATTAGAAGGGCTGCGACTGTGCTGGGACCTGGACCTAAAGAAGATCGAAGTTGAGAGTGATGCTGAAAGAGTCAGAAAGACACCACAAACAACAAAATATGATCGAGGGCTGCTTTCTTCTGCTGAGGAAGATAAGGAAGATGCCACAATGAGGCGGGCAGGCAGAATTTAAAAGTGCACAGAGAGGATAATCATTGTGCTGACACATTAGCTATAAAAATCTTAGATCAAAAGGAGAGTAAGAGAGTCTGAGCATCATCACCTACCACTGTTTTATGTATTCTTAGAGAGGACATTGAGGAACCTGGAATCCCACGTAGAGTTTCTTGTAGCATGTAATTGGGCACTGCCCCTTCTTTCACCCCAAAAAAAAAAAAAATTGCATCACATGATCACATATAATGATAAAATAGTCTCTTCTTACGCACTGAATTTAATATAGGTTAAAACTATTTTTATTTGACCCCTTTAACCATCAGATTTAAAGTTCACCTCAACGTCCTGTTTGTTCAATTCTCTTCCAAATTCCAATAATAATAATGATCAAATGACTAACTATAATTATAATATAGAAAATGTATTACAAAAGAGGTTCCATAGCCACCGCAATTAGAATTAACAATATATGCATTATGTATGAAAGCAAAGATTGTAAAGAAAGTACAGAGAAAATGAATATATACACTCAGGTTGTGTGTATGTCATCAGCATTATAAATTTATAAGAATTGTAAATCAATGCATCAATCAAGAATTTTTCTATAATTCCAAATTGCAAATATTTCTTGACAAATACCTCAGGAATTGGCTGTTGGATTACAGACTCCACAGCAACAACCATGGCTTGTACAAAGTCCTCACCTCCAGTTCCTATGGCAGTAAACCCTCGAACAGTGGGGTATGAATTCACCTAATGGCGTACAAAAACGAAAGTATTGTAACTCTTCTTTCTATAGAGGACTTTACCAATTAAAATATCAATATGATACTAATTATCACGTTGTTATAAGACGTATATAAGGTATCCTAAAGCAAATACCACCTAAAGGAAGCAAATATATCATAACAATCCCATGAAAGGAAGCCAGAAATGCATTAAGCAATGAATTCATACCTTCTGGTCCAAAGCCAGCCATTCGTTAGTAGAATCATCAGTCACAGTGCCTCCAATAACCATGTTTGTAGTTTGGCCGACCCTTCCTTCTGTCTTGGACACCTCTATAACCAATCAAAAGTTGTTTACGCTTCTCAGGACAGGAAACATAAAAATTTTTGTAGTACCCATACCCCAAGAGAAAAAGAAAAACTTAACAGACTCCAACAATTCGCAATTGACAAAATGGAATTCTAATAGCCATAAGAGGCGCAACAACCACCTAAAGGTGGATGGATTGAACACTAAATAACGGAGCCTAGAAGGATAAGAGATTGTTCTGGTCATAACTGAATCTTGCATTTAATATTACCAAAATATATAAGAGAAAAACAGCCTCTCCGTCTGGTCCGTTTCTCATAATTTCTGTATACCAGACAATTTCTCATATAATCGCTGTCCGAACTAAATAATTACGAAAAGAAACGGTAAGATAAAAAACCTGAAATGGCCTTGAGAACAGCTTCCTGAGGAGGACCTTGATCGTCATGAGGGGAGGAAGACCACGGCGATTCGTTGTGAGAGCAGCGAAGAGGTCGCGTTGCAGAATGAAATCGGCGAGGCTTAACAAGGGTTCTGAGCTCATAGCCTGAGACAGTATTGAAGCAAGGCGGTCGGAACGGTTCTACGAGAACTGCAGAACAACGAAGCATGTTCCTGCACGCCATCTTTCCGCTTGATGTGGCTATCGCCTTCCCCGAGCTCCTTCCGATCAGATATTATTCAGATAAATGTGCCTCTCCTTCTTTCTTGGGCCTGAGCCTGACCTTGTCTCTCCTGCGTGAAAATCTTCCCTTTTAATTTTGTAAGGAGAATGCTTACGTAAACTTGCTCTACATGTTATGTGAAATTCTCTAACGCTAATTAAACATGAGGGTATATTCCTTCGATCGTAAATATAAATACAAGGATGTTATATTTAGGATCAGAGAAGTACTTCTCCGGTCCTAATTATAAGACCCAATTGACTTATTTGAGGAGATTAAGAAAGTAAGTTAAATTGGTTATTTATAATAAATAAGTGTTGTCATTCCTAAAATATCCTTACTAATTAAGTATATTGGCTAAAACTATCATTATTAGAAAGATTATCTTGGAAAAAATGCATAAATATAAGAGACAAAATGGATTGGGGTCTTATAATTAGGACCAAATAAAAAGTTAAATGGGGTCTTATAATAAGGACCGGAGGAGTATTTATTTTTAAAATATTATTATTAAAGTGTAAATTCACCTAAAAAAAGAAAAAAAACTTGATTATATATATAATAAAAAAACTCACATATTAAATATAAAAACTTGATATAAGTATTACTGCTATTTATGTTTTAATATATATATATATATATACACACATATATAAAACAATAATAATTTAAAAATTAATTTTTTAAGATTGCAGTTGCCGTTTGATGTGTCTTTAATGAATTTGGATAATCAAAAAATAGAAGGACAAAGAGAATTAAAAAAATTTGAATACAATAATATTATGAATATACCACATTTAATCTTTAATATAAGAACTAGTTTAACATGTAATTGGGTTTTAAATACAAGATTTCAATTCACTTTATCTATTATATTTATCTATAATTTTCAGAATAGTCTTTATAGTAATTGTATATGTTAAATGTTCTATTAAATGATAACTTTAGCTAATATATATGATTAGTAAGGTATTTTAGAAAAAATAACATATGTTCATTACATAAAATTAACTTAACTAATTTTTTAATATTTTTAAATTAATTATCTAACTTTTATATTAAATATTAGAGCTAATAATATTTATTCGAAATGTCCATGTATCTTTCATGTCACTTCAAATTTCTCAAAGGAATGTAACCTTAACCGGTTTGATAATTCATTCCCCCAGCTTACATTCTGAGAAATCTGTCTTTTTTAATATTTCACTGTAACCTCAAAGGAATGTACTTTCTAATTTTAAGATTGCGCATATATAAATAGAGAGTAAATATCGTGTATTTGATATATTAAAAATAAATGAGAACTATTCTCCCGCATATTTATTATCTCCAATTTTCTACTCTTCTCCACAGTTGAGTTGTTGAATATTTTATGTTTTCTTTATTTTCACAACAAACAAAAAAGTTTACTAATTTTTTTTATACGTTTTACTCCTACAATTTTTTCCTCTTTACTTTTCTCTTAATTCAAACTAAGTACTACTTCCAATCCTTAATATAAAATCTTATTTGATTTTTATTTCGATTTTAAATATAAGACTCTAATATATTTTATTTATCATATTTATATATTTTTTCTCCTAAGTAATCCTTCTAATAATGGTGGTTCTAACCAATATACTTAACTAGCAAGGATATTTTAACGAAGACAACAACTATTTATTACAAATAACTAACTTAACTTATTTTCTTAATCTATTCAAATTAGTCAACTAATTTTTATATTTAGAACCAGAGATAATATCAAATTGCCACATTGAAGCCAAGTCATGCTCCGTTAGCCAAATAAGCAAAAATTAACAGAGGTTTGGTACCGAATATATGTTTCCACAAGGGAGTTACCTGTAGAACAAATTACAGGTACCCATTTCCAAGTATAGGAACCTATTTCAAGCTTCTAAAGTATATGTGCTAAAAGGTTTATTTTCCTACATTTTCGAGGCTCGGATTTGATATTAAAATTTTTTTAAAAAATCTTATAAATAAAATTATGTTTATTTTTTAACATTTTATTTTTAGTAGTTTTTAAACATTTACTCATATATCATGCAAAATAAAAAATTAAAAAAAAAACACTTCCATTCGCCAGTTGGGTATGACTGTATGTGTTAAACTCACGCACAGTACTGTCCGTTAATGACAAATGGTCTTATTAATAGCTCTATGCACCATTTTCGGCCGGAATATATATTTTATTTGATTAAAAAATGTACGATATACTACTTTTGTTTTTAATTTAAAAACTTCTTTACTAATTTGAGAAAATTAAAAAAATTTATTGAATTTGTTATTTGCAATAAATATGTATTATCTTTTTTAAAATACTCTTATCATGTGTATTAGTTAAAATTATCACTTGATAGAACTTTTAACATTTGTAATCATTATAAGAATTATTTTGAAAAAAATAAATACATATAAAAAATAATATGAATTAGAGTCTTAAATTTAAGGGAAAATGACAAATAAAGACCCTTAAATTACTAAAATTACAAAGAGGTCACCTGAATAAGCTAAATTACCAAAAAGGGCATGATCTCAAATTGTAATTATGAAATCAGGCTAAAAAGACAAAAATGCCCTTCTTCTCTTTCTTCCATCACCCCATCTCTTTCTCTTTCCCTCTTTTCTTTCTCTTCATCTGTGTCCTTCTCTACCTCTTCATCTCCCTCTCTCTCTTCTTCCTTTTATTCCTCTCCCTCTAAAAAATATTCATCTCCCACCTATGCATTTATCGATATGATTAAGGTTGTGGCCATTCCCATCAATCTCTATTACAAAAAAGATGGTGACTCATCGTTAATGCTAGTTGGCAGAGGTGATCAGATTCAAGTTGATAGCAATAGTGTTCTGGACATGGTATACAGAATCAATGTTAGAGAAGATGAGATTCAAGCTACCCAAGACACTACATGTATATATACTTCATGATTGGCATGGCATCATCTTGGTGGGTTGCAGTGTGGTCATTAGGTTATACTGTGGAAGAGAATGAAACATGAAGTTAATGATAGAAAATGTTAGTTGGAGGATGTTGTAGTTAGTTTGAGACACACTTGTCACTGAATCTTGCAGAAACTGGTTGCTGTCAAAACACCTCTGGTTTTTTGTTATTTGACTTACTATTGTTGTAATTTTACTTAGTAGTATTGTAACTACAGATTGGTTAGTTTGATTGCAGCAACATGACATGACAATCTGAAAATGTTAGTATTTTGTTTATGGGCAGAGCAATGTTAACATTTAGTATTTATAGTTGTCAATGGTATCAATGTAGATCCATTTAATATTCTGAATTCATGACAAATCTCCTTACAGACTTATAATTTCACTTACCACAGTTGTTATTTGGCTTTCCACTCTTGTCAATTGATTTTCATAACTTGTCATTCGCCTTAATCAACTTGTCATAAATCACTTATCAGAACTGGTCATCTGCTAAAGAAATCTGAAAATTCTGTCATTTGAAAAGAGAAAATTAAATTTTTATGAATTGCTTATTAGAAGTTGTTATTCGCTTTACTAAATTTGTTATTCGTCTTATTGAACTTGTCATTTGTTAAGAATGTTTAGCAAGGTGTATGATAACTTCTGATAAGCAACTCATAGGAATTTAAGATTTTGCGTTAAAATGACAATTTGCACAATTCCTTGGCGAATGTCAATTTTAGTTTTATTTAGCAGATGACAAGTTCTGATAAACAATTTATGACAAGTTTAGTTAGGCAAATAACAATTTTAGCAAAGCAAATGACAACTTATGATAAGCATTTCATACAAATTTAATTTTCTCTGTTCAAATGACAGAATTTTCAAATTTCTTTAGTAGATGACAAGTTCAGTAAGGCAAATGATGGAATTTTTGTGTTTCTGTCGCTGTATTTCTGTCACCATGTTTCTAATTAAGTGGACAACATTAAATAGCTCTCCATCATTATAATATAAAAATGATTAACAAAAAATGTTAACATTAACAACACTCGCACATCATTACACTCAAATAAACCATCATCACTTGCTTCATGTCATGGACGTAATGTAACAAATTCTGTGTTTTTATCACTGCATTTTTATCATCACAAGATGATTGTTTTTTACTTTAGAAAATCACAACTTAAGTATAATATATGACAAGTTAAGTATATCAAATTATAACTTCGTTTATTTCCAGATTTTTTTGGCAAATGACAAGTTGAGTAAGACGAATGACAAGTTTAGTAAGGTGAATGACAACTTCTGATAAGCAATTCATAAAAATTTAATTTTCTCTTTTCAAATGACAGAATTTTCAGATTTCTTTAGCAGATAACAAGTTCTGATAAGTAATTGATGACAAGTTGAGTAAGCCGAATGACAAGTTATGAAAATCAATTGACAAGAGTGGAAAGCCAAATAACAACTGTGGTAAGTGAAATTATAAGTATGTGAGGAGGTCTGTCATGAATTTCAGAACATTAAATGAATCTATATTGATACCATTTACAGCTATAAATACTAAATGTTAACATTGCTGTGTCATAAACAAAATACCAATATTTTTATATTGTCATGCCATGCTGCTGTGATCAAACTAACCAATCTGTAGTTACAACACTACTAAGTAAAATTACAACAATAGTAAGTCAAATAACAAAAAACCAGAGGTGTTTGGACAGCAACCAGTTTCTGCAAGATTCAGTGACAAGTGTGTCTCAAACTAACTACAACATCCTCCAACTAACATTTTCCATCATTAATTCACATTTCATTCTCTTCCACCGTATAACCCAATGACCACACTGCAACCCACCAAGATGATGCCATGCCAACCATGAAGTATATATACATGTAGTGTCTTGGGTAGCTTGAATCTCATCCTCTCTAACATTGATTCTTAATACCATGTCCAGAACACTATTGCTATCAACTTGAATCTGATTACCTCTACCAACTAGCATTAACGATGGGTCACCATCTTTTTTGTAATAGAGATTGATGGGAATGACCACAACCTTAATCATATCGATAAATGCATAGGTAGGAGATGAATATTTTTGAGAGGGAGAGGAATAGAAGGAAGAAGAGAGAGAGGGAGATGAAGAGGGAGAGAAGGATGGAGATGAAGAGAAAGAGAAGAGGGAAAGAGAAAGAGTGGGGTGATGGAAGAAAGAGAAGAAGGGCATTTTTGTCTTTTTAACCTGATTTCATAATTACAATTTGAACCGGGTCCTTTTGGGTAATTTAGCTTATTTAGGTGACCTCCTTATAATTTTAGTAATTCAAAAGTCTTTATTTGTCATTTTCTCTAAATTTAAAATCAAACTAGCCCATCAAAGTTAAGGTCTGGATATAGTAATATTTAAATATTTAGTATTTTATTTAGATATGGTAATATTTAAATATTTAGTATTTTATTTATTTATTTATTTTCCAAATGCGTTAACAATGCCATCTGGGGCAGGTAAAAACAAAAATACAATGCCCCGTGAGCCCCTTCAAAAACCTAATTCGGATTAACCGTTGGATCGATTTCCACCTTCATCAGTTCCTTTCTATCACCGGCGAGACTTGGCCTGATGTACGGTTCGGAGAAACTTACGGACGACTCGGAGCGAACTGCTTTTAGAAGAGCAGAGAAGAAGTACAAGCTGTATTATGATAATGCTTCCAAAAAGTACTGTTCTTCTATCATTCTTGTTGGCACGCTTGTTCTATTTGATGGAATTGATTTATAACATCGAATTCTGATTGCATGTTCAATTCACCGCAGAAAAAAGCAAGCAAAACCGGTGGACATATCGGAGGTCCTCGATTTTAGGACTGTTCTGGAATGCCATAGACTTGATGGGGAGCTTCCTTCAGGTGTTTCCCTTCTTGAGGAAAAGTTCAGTTGTCCCGTATTTTGTTTGGAAAATCGCCCTGGTATGCTTATCATTTTGGTCATATGATAATTCACATCTGTTTTTTTTTCTTTGCCCCATGTTGACCTATACCCTGTTTCTGTGTATCATGGTTGTTATAATGCCTGCCAAGATGTAATTGCGTGAGATGATTTTGAATTGAGCTTTTAAAGTTGAGTTTACAGTGAGCATTTTCATTTTTTGTTGTGGCGTTGCAGGATTTTATTTTCTTCCTGGAGCATTGAATGTGGAGGAACAATGTATACTGATAAGGGAAAGCTTAACTGATTTCCCGCAGCCCCCTAACAGAACAAACCACAATGCAATATATGGACCTATCCATGACTTGTTTCTTGCAGCAAAAGAAGGGAAAGTTCTGATTGAAGATAATTCTCCAATAAGCTCATCTGAATCCAATCCTGATATAATCAATAGAGTTGGTGAGGAGTGGAAATTTTCGGTAGAAAATGCGGAGTCTGTGAAACACTGCAAATCAGTTTCTTCTTCTGCTTTATTGCGGAAGTTGCGATGGAGCACTCTTGGCCTACAATTTGATTGGTCCAAGGTGAGCTTTTATTAACTGTTATTCGTTAGTCTTTCTCTCTGCCTGGAATCTCCGTAACCTACTTGTACAAATTGATGTGTGAGGGCATTCTACATGCGGTTTTCCTATTAGGTTAGGCCCAGAGATAATCTGCTATTTCTCGTGGACAAAGGAACCTTATTTTAAGTGTTGAATTTGAATGGGATATATACAACAACTTGTAGTAAAATCCAGCTCATGTATTGCTGTGGCCTTGCCCCACTGTTCACCAGCCAAAATTCATTCAGTAAAACTCAAAGAGATTATCATGTCAAGGTTATGCAATCTTTAAGGTAGTTAGCCATCACGTAACTAGGTTACTGAGCTGATTCTTTGTGATAAAACCCTTAGCATTGCATCCTAGGCGCATGTGTTATGACTCATGAGTACTTGGTAGATGTGATAAGTTCTGGGACAGAAACTTTAATTTTTGGCAAGATCTCTTAAGAAACATGGGTATGTGCAGCGGAACTATGATGTTTCTCTCCCTCATAACAAGATCCCTGATGCACTCTCCAAGCTAGCCAAGCAATTGGCAAAACCTGCATTACCTGTAGGCGTTGAATTCCAGCCTGAAGCCGCAATAGTAAACTACTTTGCATTAGGTATGCTCAGTTAGAACAGATATTTATCATATTAAATACATGAATTAAAGTTTGTGTATTTTTTATTTTATGTTTTTTTTGGGTTATTATTTGTTGGCAGCTAATCATGGCCTTGCCTTTGAATATTATTTGAGGTGACACGCTCGGTGGCCATCTTGATGACATGGAAGCAGATTGGAGTAAGCCTATTGTTAGTTTAAGGTATTATGCCAATTTCTTGAACCGTTGAAAAGGAAAATCTGAACTTCATCCGTGATTCTAACTATGTTTTCCCCCCTCTTTGTTTTAGTTTGGGCTGCAAAGCTATATTTCTTCTGGGAGGAAAATCCAGGGATGATCCTCCTCTGGCAATGTTCCTTCGAAGTGGTGATGTTGTACTCATGGCTGGAGAAGCTAGGGAGTGCTTTCACGGTAGATGTTACAATTAACTTCAGATTTATTGCATGATACGTTGTTGTTTCCCCTTGCTAATAGAATTTAAACATTAATATTCAAAGGCAATCTATAGTTCAAAAAGTCATGATGATTTAAACCAAAGGTTAATTGTTCTTACATAGACGAAGGCTCTTAGGAAGGCTTGAGAGATTTATTTATTTGTTCACTTTACAGCATGAGGTCACAGTGGTTCTTGTTGCGGTAGTAAATGTTTGTTGCTGACAATTGCACTTTTAGTTTAATGCGTTAGAAATTGATTTGATGTTTTGCAGGCGTTCCTCGGATCTTCACAGACAAAGAAAATGCTGAAATTGACCATCTTGAGGCTCAACTATTGCGCGAAGATGACGTTTGTTTCTTGAAATATATTCAAACTTCAAGAATCAATATCAACATCAGACAAGTTTTCTGAGACGTAGTTTGTTTTTTTGCAAATTGAATTTTTGTTTCATTACGAGTTCATGATATAGAAGGGAGAAAGGATATTATCATTTTCTATATAAGATTATGATTCATATATAAGATGGTTATTGCTGATTGTTGTCTTGGTTGCTGAGCGCACAACGGACCACTGAATAGGCCTTGCAGAAGCAAATGTCTTGTGCGGGAAGCATTGAAAATTAGAGATTGAGATTAAAAGAGAATAATTAAAAAGTGTTTAGCATAAAAGATTGATTGTTATATGGGATTAGCCAAACCCATATATGTGAGATTGAATAGGGGAAGTAATATTTTCCAATCCCACCTCTATGAATTTGTCTAACAAGTAATTATTTATGCTAAATACTATTTTAATGATTTTTTTTCAATTGTAATAATCCTTTATTTTCAAAATTTCGTACCAAATGGGATCCAGTGTTCTGTTTATGGTTTGATGTTCTGCAACTTGCAGGCGTTCCTGGGATCTTCGTGGACAAAGGAAAAGCTAAGATTGACCATGCTGAGGCTCAACCATTGCACGAAGATGATGATTCTTTCTCGAAATGTGTTTAAACTTCAAGAATCAACATCAATATGAATCATTTTCTTTTTCAGATATATTTTATTCTGTTGCAAATTGAATTTTGGTTTCATCACGACTTCATAATATAGGAGGAAGAAAGGATCTCTTTCTATGTAAAACAATTATTTATATAAAGCATGAGACAAACAAAGGGACATAGACGTTCATCAAAATTATTCATATTGCCTTCGTTATTTTTTAATAATGACATTGTGATTCGATTTGTATTTGTATGTTTATAAGTTTATTTGATAAGATGTTCCTAGAGACTAGATGCCCTAATATTACTGGATGGTAAAGGTGTTGATGAAAGCTAATTACATGTTAAAAAAGAGTGAGAAGAGAAGTAACTTTGTGGAGAGTGGGATTTGAAGCGACGCCCTTTCGGACCAGGACTTTAATCTGGCGCCTTAGACCAACTCGGCCATCTCCACTCAATTGTGCCATTAGCATGTTTGTTTAGACCAATTCATCCGTACACCTTAATTAAGATCTGCACCAGACAAGGGGAAAAAAAAGCCATACCAACGAGACACTAAATCGGTTGAGATAATGGTTTAAGAGTCTGTTGGTTAGATGAGGATCAACTCGGAATCAAACCAATCATATTAAAATAATATAATTTAATTAAAAATAACAATTCTATCTCCGGTCCTAATTATAAAATCTCATTTGTAGATTACAAACGAGGTCTTATAATTAAGACCAGATGTAATAATCACTAATAACAAAATACAAGGAATGTAATAATAGTTTGATTATAACAATAATAAAGTATAATAATATTAAAAATTTTGATCTTTAAGATTTATCAATAACTAAAATTAATAATAACTTATATCAAAATTATCATTAAAATTCATTCAAATCTATCATGACTGAAATACTAAAAGTTGAACAAGAGAAAAAGAACCAATAGCAGCATAATCATCCAAACCGGTCTACATCGGTTTTTACCAATTCACACTAGTTTGATCGGTTCGATACCGGTTCAACTCCTACCCGGTTCAACAACAAAACCAAACCGGACCACTGCCTGGTTCACTGGTTTTCTGGTTGAACCGACTAATTTGATCTGATTTTTTTTCTTTGGCACCACATACTGGGTCTGCATTCGAATTTTCCTATCCTATACAATTATTTAAATAGAAAAGGTGATTTAACGCGACAGGCTCTAAAAGTAAAAAAATAAATTAATGGTCTCCACCTTTACTGGTCTAAAAATTATAGAAGTATTTTTGTTTCGTCTAATTGTACCACGGCTGCTGATTTTTTGCATAGGGTTATGATTTAGCACATCCTTTAGACACCTTGTTGATAAAGCTATATTACCTTCTTTTTTTTTTTTTTTTTTCCAGCAGTTTGGTAGTGTCGTACTTGAATCACAATCTCCCACAAAAGAAAAAAAAAAAAGAAGGGAAAGCTACCGCCAAAATTTTGATAGGATTTTGAAAACTTAAAAAAGAGAACATTGTCTGTGAGAACCAAGTAGGGTTTGAGAGTTAGTTGTACATGAAAAAAGTATTAGGCACTCCACAACACCCGTTTAAAAGAACAACTACCCTAAACAATTACTCAAAATTACACCAAAAAAAATTGAAAATGAAGCAGGGTGTATCAACTGAAGACTTAGGGTAGCAAGGGGAAGGCGCGAACAAAGAATATGTCTTCAATTTCTACACTGACCACATAAAAATGGCGAAGTAACATATTAACATCGAGCTCCACTTTTTACATGCACCCATACCATAGTCCTCAACGGATTAGCCATACAAACACTTAGAGGAGCCATATTTTCAATAGTTGGGTTACTACCCACTACCTCTCGCATTGGTACTACCCTGCTCTTTCTCGCATGGGAGGAAACCTTCTTACTGCAGGGGTTTTAGAGGTGAGTTTGTTAAGCTATGGAAACATACTAGTTTTCTTATCATTTAAGAGAAATTCAAATGTTATATAGATAATAGATACAGGAGAAGATTAAACCTCTCTCAGCATGATTTGATATATTTACACCGATTGAGTTAATATTTGATATAAGAATTAATAATGACACCAGTCATAATAATAATCGATATAAAGGCTGTGTCGTTATTTACAAAAATGACACCACCTCATTTGTTATATCATTGGCATAACAAAGAGAGTAGGTAAGACGGTGTAAAAGGGTGTTTCTCTAGTAGTAAAGGCTTTAATTTTGATCATATCATGTTAGGTTAAAAGAACATCTAGCATAACATGCATGTTTTCTATATGAAGATAGCTACTACTACCAGATTATGCAAATGGCTGGGTCTCATTGTCCCTAAAAGTACATGTCTCATGCTAATTTTAAAAAAATACATATCTTAATAGACCTTTTATTATAACCAAGAAAAAGGCTCTAAATAGGTTAGATTTTCTCTCTCTTGGGATTTGTGCACCAGAAGGTTCCCCCTGACCGGCCTTCGACAGAGGAGAACGAGGAAATGAATAAAAAGAAGGTTGAAGAGTATGCTACTGCTATAATGGATGACCATATGGACGAAAATGTTGAGGAAAGTAAGGGTAATATTGTGGAGCAGTATAGCATGAGTAGGACCATGCAAACGAAGATTCTTCCTTGAATCCAATAGGGAAGTTTCCCTCCTATCGTTCCTTACTTCTGGGGTTCAATAGGGTGGCTCAGGAGGAATTCAACGAATGGTGTGAGCCGTGGAATTATGCTTTGATTCTTATGGTCCTGGGAAGGAAATTTAATCTGCATGTACTAATAGACTACCTCAGGAAAATATGGGGCTTCCAAAGCTTTGATTTAATTGACATGCCAAATAACTACTTTCTTGTGAAATTCATAGACCCAGAACAATGGAGACAGCACTACAAGAAGGTGCTTTGTGAGGGCCCATGGGCAGTGAAGCAGTATTCAGTCCTGGTACAAAGATGGTCTCCTTATTTCAATCCCTACAGGAACCCATTGGGACATGTAGCAACCTCGGTTCAGATCCCAGACATTCCAATATATTGTTATAACAGCCATTGCATCAGGAGAATTGGTGATAGAATTGGAAGAACCATAAAGGTGGACATAAATACTCTATCAAACTTCCAAGTGAGAAACTCTAAAGTGTAGAGGGGAAAGTATTTAAGGATATGTGTAGAGCCCAATTTGCAGAAGCCACTTGTACCCAAAATTATTGCTGCAGGAGAAATCTTCAATGAGGAGTATGAAGGTTTGGGATTAATTTTTTCTGCTTGTGGAAGGTATGGCCACCAAAGAGAATCTTGTCCGTGGAAGAACAGCAACAATACTTGGTGTGCGGAGAACATGTCCACGCAACGCGTGGTAGTTAATCCGGTAGCATCACAAGAGAAGAAAACCACGGAGACGAGCGGTTTGGCTCATGGACGATCAATCCTAGGATGAATGGGTCTCAGTTCTTGAAGAGAGTAGACCAGAAAGACAACTAGAGAAAAGGAGAAATTTCTAACAGGATCCCATAAAATGTCAGCCTCCTAGTGTAGAAATCTCAGTTTTTGGTGATTGAAGATATGGAGGGAGACAGAAAATTTGAGGGAAGATGAAGACCCAGAATTGTTGAACGAAGAGAACTCCTTTAACAAGCAAGAAAAAGCCGTTGTACTTGCTCAGAAAATAAAGAATTTGAAGGCAAAAGGGAAGAGTGTGATGGGACAGGTTGGAGGCACTAGGAAAAATGATTCAACTAGACCAAGGTTGAGCTACAAAACCTAAGGCTAAGAGAACTCAAAACCAGCAAATGGGCAAGGGGAAAAAATGGGCCGAAAAAAATTGTAGTGCTAAGAGAAGACCCTAGTTTAGGAGACAAAACCATGCAAATAGGCTAGAAAAACAAAAAAGGGAAATGAATTCATTGTGTAGTCCAGGGCTGTGTAGAAATGATGGAAAAGAGTCAGAAGAAAACCCAAGAAGGGAATAACCCAAATTGCAATGCCATTATTCCTGTGACCAAATCTCAGCCTCAACATATTTAGCTCCCAAACAGTAACCTCGTTCCATCGTCTAGCAATATAGTGGAACCTCAAGATGGGAAGCTAAAACCACATAATCCTAACTTTCACATCATGGAAGAAATTAATGGGGATGGTGAAGACTAACTATTGGTAGTGGCAGAGACGCAGCTAACTGGGAATAAAGGGTTAATTATTGCTACCCCAAAATGGTGAGTTCTTTATGTTGTTTTCTTTTGGAGTTTTTAAAATGATTGTGGCATCTTGGAATTGTAGGAGAGCTGGTAGCCATGCTTTTCCCTTTTTAATTAAAGATATTATTGCTTGTTATAACATTGAGATTTTGTATCTTTTGGAACCACGCATTAATAGGCACTATGCGACAAGGTGATAGTCCCCTTGGATTCAGTCACTGGATTAGAGTTGAATCAACGGGATTCTTTGGTGGTATCTAGATCTTATAGAAAAATATTGAGTTTAAAATCAGATATCTGTATTCAAATGTCCAAATTCTCCACTGTCTTATTTGAGATAGAAGTGCAAACTCCTCCTGGTTTTTTTTGTTAGTAATGTGTGGGGAGACTAATAGAAGAAGTAGAAAAATCCTCTGAGAAACTATTAGAAGGATTACACCTACCTGCTTAGCTCCCTAGATTATGATGGGTGACTTCAATACCTTCCTTTTGCCTATGGATAAATTAAGGGGCAATGAACCAGATTGGGAATCTATGAAGGATTTTAAAG